CGGCACCGATAACGCCGGCACCGATAACGCCGGCACCGATAACGCCGCCGCTCTGCGCGCCGGCACCTGGGCACGGGCAAGGCACGGGGGGGCACAGAGCCCGCTCGGCGCTGGGGAACCCGCCTGGGTGAGCGGGCACCGAGCACCACCGCAAACACGGCGTGCGGGAGGGGGGAGCAGCAGCTCCCTCGGGGTCTCGCTTGTGCATGAGGGTGAGGACGGGGCTGAGCCGCTGCTGCAGTGCCAGTGCCGGGGGAACAGCGTGTTCCCGGCGGGGTCACACCTGCAGCGGCGCAGGCACCGCCATGTGCCGCCAGCCCCCGCGTGGGACCGGGCACCTGCCACCTGCCAGCGGCCCCGTGTCACCCCGCCGTGGCTTGTGGGGCTGCTCCCAACCCTGGAGAGCCCTGGGGTGTCCCCATGGTGTCGCACGGACCTGCCACAGCTGCCCGGCCCTCCCGCCCGCACGGAGACCCGGCCGGGCCGGCAGCAGGAGACGGGGCGGGGACTCCGGCAGTGGTTCCCGGGGACACCATCAGCGCCTCCCAACCCTCCCTTCCAAGGACACGGCACCGCGTCCGTCACAAGCGCTGGAATGGGGCCCGGGATGAGGGGGCGGGACCCCCGCCCATGGCCACGCCCCCGCCCGCGCGGAGCCCCCGCCCCGCAGCGCCCCCGCCGGGCCGGCAGGGGGCGCCGCGAGCGGCCGCGCAGCTCCGGAAAGAGCCGATCGACGGCGGAGGCGGCCGAGCCGGGGCGGGCGGCGCAGGCGGAGGGGACGCGATGGCGCAGCAGGTCGAGCAGCTGCGGGCGGACGGCGTGCACAAGGAGGTGCTGCGGGAGGGCACCGGGCCGCTGCCGGACTTCCGCGACGGCACCAAGGTCAGGGCCGCGGCGGGACGGGCGGGGGCGGAGGGGGGCGAGGGGGGGCGACGGGAGCAGCAGAACGCGGGGGCGAAGCGCGCATGCGCCGCCCCCCCTCCCTTCTGTGTTGCCATGGTGATGCCGCGGGCTCCTCCTGCCACTTCAGGCCACCTTCCATTACCGAACGCTGCGGTGCGACGATGAGGAGACGCCGCTGGACGACAGCCGAGCGCGGGGGAAGCCCATGGAGCTGATCGCCGGGAAGAAGTTCAAGCTGCCGGTGTGGGAGGCGGCGCTGCGGACCATGCGGCCGGGGGAGCGTGCGCGCTTCCGCTGCGACACCAAGGTGGGCGGGGCCTGCACGGAGGGGCGGGGCTTGCTGCTTAGGGGCGGGGCTTGCGGCCGCCCCGCTGCGCCCCATCCCGGGGGGCGATGCTGGAGCACCCCCGCGTTCGCCTTCCCTCCCCACGTCCCGGCTCCCTCCCCTCCCGCAGCACGTGGTGCTCTACCCGCTGGTGTCCAAGAGCCTGCGGAACATCGCGGCGGGGAAGGACCCGCTGGAGGGCCAGCGGCACTGCTGCAGCATCGCCCAGATGCACGAGCACTACTCCCTGGGGTACCCCGACCTCGACGAGCTCCAGAAGAACCCCCAGCCCCTCATCTTTGACATCGAGGTGCTCAAGGTGAGGGACCTGCTCATGCCGGCCAGCAGCACCCCTGCCCCAGGCGGGGGATGTGGGCACTGAGGCTCTGCCCTGATGGAGAAGGGTCTGGAGCATCAGGAGGGGCTCAGCCTGGAGAAGAGGAGGCTCAGGGGGAACCTTCTTGCTCCCCACAACTCCCTGACAGGAGGGTGGAGCCAGGTGGGGGTCAGGCTCTGCCCCCAGAGAACAAGGGGAGACAGCCTCAAGTTGTGCCAGGGGCGGTTCAGGTTGGATACTGGGGGAATTCCTTCATGGAAGGGGTTGTCCAGCCCTAGCACAGACTGCCCAGGGCAGTGGTGGAGTTACCATCCCTCAAAGTGTCCAGAAAACACACAGATGTGGCACATGGGGACGTGGTTTAGTGGCGGCCTGGGCAGTGCTGGATTAATGGTTGGACTCCATGGTCTTAGAGGGCTTTTCCAACTAAATGATTCCATGATCCTATTCTCTGATTCCATGATGGGGTGCTGGCAGGTGGAGCCGCCCGGCTCCTACCAGCAGGACCCGTGGGCCATGACGGATGAGGAGAAGCTCCAGGCTGTGCCCCTGATCCACAAGGAAGGCAACGAGCTGTACCGGCAGGGCAAGGTGCCCGAGGCAGCTGCCAAATACTACGATGCCATCGCCTGTCTCAAGAACCTGCAGATGAAGGTGGGGCCCCCGTGGCTGCACACAAGCATGGCCCCTGGAACGCAGGGCTTCAGAGCTGCCCCTCACCCTCCCTGCTCTCTCTCATCCCGCAGGAGCAGCCAGGCTCTCCGGACTGGATCGAGCTCGACCAGAAGATCACACCCCTGCTCTTGAACTACTGCCAGTGCAAGCTGCAGAGTGAGGAGTACTACGAGGTGCTGGATCACTGCTCCTCCATCCTCAACAAGTACGAGGGTAAGGAGCCAGGGTCCATCCCGGGCGGCTGCAGCGGGCGCGGGGAGATGCCGGCGCTCCGCTTGACCCCCGGCTCTGTCCCCCAGACAACGTCAAGGCCTACTTCAAGCGGGGCAAGGCCCATGCGGCCGTGTGGAATGTCGCAGAGGCGCAGGCTGACTTCGCCAAGGTGCTGTCCCTCGACCCCTCACTGCGCCCCGTGGTGTCCAAGGAGCTGCGGAGCCTGGAAGCGCGGCTGCGGGAGAAGGACGCCGAGGACAAGATCCGCTTCAAGGGCATCTTCTCCCAGTAGAGCCCACGGCCGCAGCGGAGAGCCCAGCGCTCTCGGGACAGGTTCCTTTAGATATTCCACATGTGGAATGGTCATGGATGTTTATTAATGTTTAATACAGATTTTACTTATTTGAAGTCAGTGGAAGTGGCCCTGGAGCTCGCCGTGGCCCAGGGACATGGCCAGGCACTTAAGTGGCAGCGTAAAGCGTCGCAGCACACGGCTGAAGCTCTTTGCTGGGCTCTAGACTCTGCTCATTGTCACACCAGGGACATGTGGGTGACACGAGCCTGCTCCCTGCCAACTTGTATCCCTTATTTGACGTTTTTATACTTTATGGTGGCCACACAGCCTCGGCCCCAGCTCCAACCCCTTCCTGCCTGTTCTCTGTGCCACACTGTTGTCACTTCTCCAGGCTGCTGCTATCACCCCAAACCAGTGTTTCCTCTCATCATGTCAGCGTCGGGAATATTTTATATAGAATAACGGCTTGTTCCTGCTATCTCTATAAACCTCCAGTCGTGCCATGACAAGATAAACTCAAGTAAAATCAGTCACAGCCCCTGGTCACTGAAAATTTGCTGTTAGAGGTAAATGAGGGAAAAAAAGTTGGAAAGAGGCAGGAAGAGGGCTGGAGGAGGTTATCGGTACATACCCTAGAGCAGCAGCACAGCCCACACACCCCCGGATCTTCTCCTTGTCCTAAATTGCTGTGCCCCAGGGCCACCTCCCTGCGTGACTCCGTGTCCCTGAGGGCACCCCAGGGCTTTCCCAGAGGGTGGGAGTGCTGGGGCCATGTCCAGGGGCAGCGGGTACAGAGCAGGCACAGGGGCGCCGGCGCCTCGTCGTAACATCTCTTTATTCAACACCGAAACAAAACGGGGGGAACAGAGGAACCGCTCTGGAACCCCAACCCGGCCCTGCCCCGCGACACCGGACGGAAATAAATAGGTGGGGAGCAGGGAGGTGCCACTTGCCTTGGGGCACAGCCACAGCCCCCCAGTTCTGCACAGGGACAGTGACCCCGGGGCGCAGACTCCACCAGGCACTGCCCAACAGCCCCAAGGGATGTAGGGGGGACAGGGCTGGGGGCAGCAGGGGGGACCCGGGGGGGTTCAGCCCCAAGGGGATCACTCTGGCCCTCGGGGGGGCTCGGAGTGCTGTCTCCCAGCACCCCTTGGTCACAGGGTACCCAGCGCCCTCATCTCCTTCCTATGAGCTCATGGCTCAGTGCCGGCTCCGGCCCCAGGTGCTGCTGGCTGGGAAATTAGGGATCACAGCGGAGGGGGGACGTGGCCGTGCCACCCTCACTCCTCACCCTCCAGCTTGAGGCTGACGCTGCGGGGCTTGGCCCGGGCCAAGCCAGGGGGTGCCGAGGGGGGCCCCCCATCCCGCTCTGCCTGGCTGGAGCCCCGGGAGCGCAGCAGCTGGCTCTGCTTCCGGAGGAAGTCGACAGGTGCTGGGCAGCCGTAGGTGCCTTTGCCCAGCACGGGTCGTGGGGGCCCCTTGGGGGAGTGGGCCAGAGCTGCTGCTTCCAGCTGGGCCAGGTGGGCGACATAGCCCTCGGAGAGAAACTGCGGGACACGTGGACAGCCTGAGCCCATGGCAGCAGCCAGCTGGTGGGGTCAGCCATCGTGCCATGTCCCCAGCCTGTCCCCAGCCCTGCCACCATCATACCTGGCACTGGTTGTGGAACTTCTTGACGGC